TGATATTCTCATTAATCTTTCATTAAAATGACAGCTTCCAATCTGACACAAATAAGGAGGCACAATTACCTCCAAATAAATAAATAAATAAATACAAGGAGGTAGCTAGCTTCTTAAACGGGTCAATTCATTTCATGTCCAAGGTAAGGAAGAGCTATAGCTTTCTGGTGTGGATGTGTTATCCGTGGCTAAAAAAGAGAAAAAATAATTTTCTTAAAAAGATTTTATACACCGTAAAATCGGCGCCATTTTCAACCGCAATAAATCAATAAGAGTTAATACCACGGGCTAAATCAAAATGATTGTTAATACTTTGATTAGCTTTTCAAAGACATCTTTCATTATTCAAATGCGCCTTTGGATTTTGGTCTCATCTTCTGTTAAAAGAATTCGCAGATATGTAAATTTTCGTAATTGCTTGATTTAGTCGTCTCCAATTTGTTGTACCCATCTTGCTGAAAAACATGCTTTCTGTATTCTTGCATTTGATGTATACTTTTTTCTTCTTGCTTTCCATTACCACATTTTGTAGAAGTTCCTGTAATTTTCTCTTTCGGCTATCAACACTGTGTCATCTGCATACTTATGTTGCTAAAAGTTTGTTCTCTAATAATAAATCTTGGTAGGACTTCTAATTCTTTCAGAAATGGCTGAATCACTCCGGCCAGAAGAAATATCCTTGTTTTACGCACCTTTATATATTTATTTTGTATTTAATGATTTCATTTAATTCTGGATTAGGCTAATATCTTTGTAGTGGTATTGACGACATAAATCAACCCGCACATTATTTACTTTACGAATGTGTAAGCAAACAAAAAGCAAACAAGAGAAAGTACACAAGAAAATAACTTTTCATAACAGTTAAAATATTTACATTTAAATATCAATCAATAGTTTTGCATGAATTGTTAATATGAGTTATTTCCCTTTGACTGAATTAAAGTCTTTACTACTGAATTTTTTTTTACCTGAGCTCACAAAAAGTTGAATTAACTTGTCTTGTTCGTAATGTTTGTAATTACGTTTCGTAAGATTCAATAGTGTGATTGAATAGTTTTTAGTAAGTTCCAGAAGAAGTTGGTGAGTTGTTTAGTTGAAATTTTAGCTTGAAGTAAAGGTAATTCATGTTAAAGAACTTGAGATTCTAACTTTGTACTTCGCTGCAGTAATGATACAAGCGTCGTGAACTCGATTAGCAAATGCTAGTGGTCGTAAATTCTCACTGACTGGGTTCGCTCGTACAGGCTTCAAAAAAGCATTGTTTTTTTTTTGTTTTTTTTTTTTTTGTCAAATCAAAAACTAGGTTGATGTTATTCGAACGTACTAATGAACAAGTAAATTGTATTTTTAATATTTGTTAACTACTCAGAAAACGTCTTACAAAACTCAGTCTGGAGCTTGACATGGCTTGTTTCTTTGCTGATTGAGAACGATGTACATGAAGATAGACGAGATAATTTTGATATTTATTGTCCAATGAGACCTTAAGGTTTTCTGAAAATATATATGAAGCTGTGATCCGCTTTTTGCACAAAAATCGACATTGATGAAAAAGTGGTAGCGGAATGCTAAATCTTTCTCAAATAAATCATGATTACCTCGCAATTCAAACAGTTTTCAATCGTCTTTGTAAATTGAAATATGCACAAATATATTTTGAAAATATTCTAATTTTTCTCCGTTGTACTGTGATCGGTTAAATAATACCGGTAATAATATAAGTCCGGATTCGTTCCAAAATTGGACAGTAGAGTTGAAGACAGTTGAAGACAGCAGAACTCAACAACTCACACGCGTCTACACAGACTATTCATTCTACTCACTCCGCACGCACACATACAAACACAGAACGTGAATATCATTCACCATCAGTTCTTTGTGAACAAGCCAAGTTGCAACAGCTCTGTTAGTTATACAAAGCACACAACTGAACTTACTGTATATTCTTCTGAATACACATTCTATTTCAATACAGAAATTTGAACATTCTATTCAGAAAACTTGCTTTATTACATTTTACCTTATTCAATTAACAGATAAAGGGAAACTACTTTTTTCTCCTTATTATTCACACATTACAAAAATTGCTTTGTATTTGTTGATTTTAATATATATTTTATCGTTGAAACACAAATCGGTTTTCCATTGTTTTTCCTTGATTTAAAAAAATGTATAAATGTTAAATGCTCTTCAACACGCAGCCACATTAATCTTTTCAACACAACCAGCATTTACAATTTCTTATAATTTGTTGCAAGCCCCCTGTATATATATATTTATATACCAACTAAGTGAGTAAGATGTTTCTCTGTATTACACACAGCAGATTCAGGTAGTTTGTCATCGTTTGAACAGGTTTCATTAAAGAGAACCTACAAGGAATATCTGTTAAGATGTCAGGTGTAAAATCGTAAATGTACTTGCCGAAAATCAGCATAGCATTCCAATTTATGTCGACAGACATTTGTTTTTTCTTTAAAAGTATGTAGAATCAAGAGAATCCACACGCGCAACCGACATTGTAAACACGAAAAAAACATTCACACACACAAAGACACACACACACACACACACACACACACACACACACACATATATATATATATATATATATATATATATATATATATATATATGGCGGACTTCATCACATTAAGTTAACTTTGATAAGAAACAGGACTAACGCTAGAAGAATAACCGCAAAACATTGTTACACATAAAATATATGTATATTAACAAGATGTACAATATCAAACAACGATGTGAAAGAAAACATGCATTTAAGTAAGAAAGGTTGAATTATTCAAGAGTTGCCTCCCTTTGAATGAGATTTAAGAGTTCAGTGAAAGATAATTATTTGGTATAAAGTTCACTGTATAAATGTTCATGAGTGTTTGTGTGTGAATGTAAAGAGTTTGTAATTTGGTGAAGGTGTACAAATTATCGTCAGCATGTGGGTGTGCTTGTGAGTGAGAAGGTTGGCGCATGGTTCCAACTGTCGTGAATTCCTTTAGCAGCTGGGGTACGTCTGGTAGAAATAGTTCTTATCACTACTCACTAAAATTACAATTAGTGCAGTGCCCATTCACAAGATTATAGATATCTTCTTCATTCTCAGTCGAAACATCTTAGTCCGCATGAGAAAAATGTTTAATTGTCAAACTTTTGAAGATCTTAATAAAGATCTTGGTAAAGAATCAACAACCAGTCAGTACAAAATGGTAATCAGATGTTACGAATAAATGTAATATATAAAGAGTGCGATATATAAATTGTCGCCTAAATTACGCAAAGAATGAAGATAACACTGACATCTTATTTTAACAGATATATTCACCAAAATTACACAAAAAATTTCTTGAAATATTAAAGAATAAATTTATTCAGTAAAATCACCATTGGCTTGAAACACGACCTCCAAAAAACCTCGAAATCTCCGGCAAATCTTCCTGATGGCCTCCTTATTTAACTTGGTGAATATTGTCATAATACTTGCCTTCAGTTCATCTTTTGTGTTTTAGACATAGTTGTTCCAAGCTTTATGTTGAGTTTAGATACATTCTTTTCAGTTGTATTTATGATAAAGTTAGTGGGTACAACAACGGTATACTTTTTATTCGTTACTTTTTCTTTTTTTTTTTTTTTTTGGAAGGACCTCTTTTCTATTTTGAAATATTTTATGGGCCTTTTGTTTCGCATGGAATATGAAATAGAGTATTGAAGGAGATTGAAAGTATTTTCAATATATTTTTCCTCTTCATGTAAATACTGAAGTAAAGAATACTTTCCCTTTCCTAGATATCGTTCAACACTGCGTTAATAGTACCTAAACTTAGTGTCCACCAAAACATAAGTAATAAAAATGATTTTATAAATTTCTATTTTCATTATAACAAAAAATAAAAGCAGAAATAATCAGAAGATTCTACTTAAGACTAGAATTAATTTTCAGCTCTCTTTTTCTGGTAGGCTGTATGAAAGTTCTTGTTTAAAGACTCAAACCAAAAATTATTCATGAAATAAAACAAGCAATCTCTGATACATTTTCTGAAATGAATGTAGAAATGTGTCAGATTGTTTGTAGAAGTGTTATTGATTGGGTTCAGCATTGTATTGAACACGAAGAAGAGCATGTTAAATAATTCGTTAATCATAACAAATCATGTTTTGATGCGACAATATTTATAAGTTTCTTAAACTACCAAAATTTATTTCGAAGTGAATACCCACGGAACAGTGTCTCAAGACCCACGTCTTATTTCCACGCTTGAGGCACTTTTCCGTGGGTATTCGTGAGGAGTTGTTAAGTGTGAAAAGGATTGTTGAGGATTATTCTAGGTTCGATGAATTACGATATATGAATACTTCAAACCCCCCAAATTTCTTCATTTGTATATCCTTGCTTGACGCAGCTATTAATTGTGAAGAGCTGCTAAGGGTGAACAGAAGACGTGGCTCTTGGGGCACTGTTCTGTGGGGTATTCGCATACTTGGAGGAGTATCACTACGGAACTGAGTAAGTTGCGGCGCTATATCGAGTCTAGTCAGATACTGTTTCGTGGTGCAGTTGGTATGACGTTTGCGTTGTATCGAAACGGTCCGTTTTCGATTCTCAATAGTGGATGCACACTGCTAATGAGTCCCAAATACGACCAAACGACCCTCTAGTGCTTTCTGCTGAAAATTATTCTACACTAGATGAATTACTCTCTCTCTCTTCTCTCTCTCTCTCTCTCTCTCTATATATATATATATATATATATATATACACACATATATATATGTAAATTATAAAGAGAAATGAAGTATTGTATTTTCTCATAGGGACTGTAATTTCGTACAAGAGAAATCATTTAATCGTCGATCGTGGCTTTTCTACACTTATACATATTTCAGAGTTATCAATGGCATGAAGGGCTCTTGTTTCAACAACTGATCTCTTGGATTAACTCTGAGTAATGCTTGGCTTAAGCTAAATGTTAGAGAAGTTAAGCCGGATGTATTCTTGTGACACTCGCTCTCAATGCACTCATACAATTTTAAGTATACAGAACATATCTATAATTTATGGGCAACACAATCCAGGGTCTTGTATCTATCTTTATCGCATTGCAGTTATGTTTTTTTTTTTTTTTATTAATGCTGCTTAACCGTAGTTATGGTGAAATCAATCAACAAAACGTTGGTGAGACAAAAAAAAACCATAAAATTTATAATGATACATTTTTAAGCATGTTATGAATATTGAAATATTTCCAAATATGCCTGTCTCGTCGGGTGGTTAGTCAATCTCTGTTGAAGACGACATGCTCAAGACAATTTGCGTCTATTCAACACCAACAGGGGCATCTTGTGGGAGTTTTAACGTTGAGCAGACCTTAGTTACAGATTGTGACAGAGAGTTTAAAATCTCGCATGATTGTGACTTCGTATTAGCCCATCCATCGATGGCTTCCGAAAAGTTTACCTGACGTTGCACTTAGAACTGAGATTCTACAGTGTGTGATTTGCATATAAATAAGTGCGTGGTTTCCGTTATCATCTCTAAACTGGATTCCCACAAAGCGTAGTTGATTGTATATTTGCAATAGAACTAAAGAAATGTGCTCCTAAAATTGACTTTCTCTCTAAACTTTAAAATAAATGCCATGTTGTTTCTTGTTTTCCTCGTTGTTTAAAATTTTCTTCTCTAGTTCTTGTTTTTAAGAACTCAGACGAACTATCTGATAGTTCTATCAAATAATTATTCTTTTAACATTATTTGACAAAGTCCTACTCCGAAATGGTCAAACATCTCACTTCGTAGAGTTTTCTTTCAGACAAACAGTATGACTTTTGCGTCTTTAGATCAACTGCTGACTTGTTAATGATTATTGCTTAAAGAGTCTGTCAAGCTTTAGATATGTATAATGAAACTCGGACATTTGCTTGAGATAACCCGAACGCGTTTGACACGCTTGTCTTCTTCACAAGTTGAAAGTTTATGGTATTTTTGGAGAAATTTTGGAATTGATTCAATCTTTCTTATCCAATTATTAAATAAAAGTTGTTAATGAACGGACACTCTTCTGGAATTTTTTACATTAATGCCGGGGACCCTTGAACCTATTTGAGATTCATTTTTTATCAACACCCTCCCGATATAATCGCTTCTCGACTAGGTATCTATGTTGATGACACAACTATATAACCCTGACTTAATTGTAAAACTGACAAGTTTGATATAGTCAGATTGGCAGTTGATCTAAAAAATGACAATCATTCTCGATTGCAATGCTGTAATAAAATCAGTTCCACCAGTTCTGACCTTTGCAGCTAAAATCCACCATGCCACGTACGCGGGAACGAATCATCCTCATTCCCTCATTCCCTTCCATGAGTAAGAACGAATTTCCATTCAGACAGCATCTTCCCAAGAACTGCCCGAGAGGATCCTAACCACGTAAACTCTAGGAATAACCTTTATATTTCCTACATAACCTCTTAAACTGGCGGGTGTGCGGTGGTTTAATAGTTGTAATGAGAAATCGGAGAGTAAAGTTCGAATTTCCGTCGGATTCATTACACTCACATATGTGCAGATAACCTTGGAACAAGAATGACTATCTCTATGCCTACTTATGTGTTAAATTGTAGAATTTCTATTTTGAAAAATGATTGACATTCTGGAAAACATGTTTATGCAATATTCACTTTCAAGAATGTAATTATTCTTATAATAAAAAATGTTTCGGTTTGTAATAGTTCACAAGTGGTTGATAAGCCATAAAAAAAAAGCAAATTAATCAATTATTCAAAACTCATAGCATTTCTTATCGACTTCTTGGATGCACACATAAAACACCATTCACTTACTCTTTACTTTTAGTAAATATTTATTGATTGAACATTAGTAAAAACAAACAAGCGATGATGATAACGTGTTGGCTATTTTAGCTGTTTCTTTTTTGTTATATTTTTATTCCCCATTTTACGGTGAGTAGTATTTTTCTTATACTTGCTTTTCCTTCCATTTTTTTTATTAACTTATATTTTTAAAACCCATGAAATTATGTAGCCTCAACATATTATTTATTTCATATTTGTGAGTCTTCTGTATTTTTTATCCCTAACATCCCTTTTTTCCTCTAGTCTTTTGATCTAGAATATTCTCGTAGCGTTCTAATTGAAGATGAATTTATTTCAAATTATATTAATCTCCATAATGAATTCTGACTTGAGACAAGTTTGTAGTTAACTAACTTGATCGTATCAGAATAAATATAATCAGTAAATGATACTTGCTTAAAATTCACTATTCATGTTTATTGATATTCCACTGTACTTTACTTTCTTGAAGGTACCCCTCGGCATGTAATGAATTTAGGCAAAATCAATAACCTCTTTACGTCCACCTCCATATATTTTGTTTACACTAATTAATAGATTAGCTTATAGAAATAAACAATGCAAACTAATGTTATAAATGTCATTAAGCGAAAAAAAAATTGGAAGCAAGACGTGTCTCAAGAAGGAAGCACAATAGATGGAGCAAAATAATGCTACCCAATTCATGTAAAAACCGCAGATGATATGTATGTAGGTGAATATATGTGATAGAGGGATTTGCAAGAGGTATTTTTTTGGGAAGATGTTGTGGATTCCGAGATGAAATCCGGTCTCAAATGAATGACAAACGCAGGAATGAAATATAGCAAATAAATGTCTTTGATTGTAATAATACAATTGGTAATTTACCGGTTAGAAAATCAAAAAATGCACAGTTTTTATGGTCTGAATTGCAATAAATATATATATACAGTCTGGGAAATTCAGTATCGAAGTCTAAGTGCTCGCAACTATGACTCCTACAAAACTCACACTCTCACTCTCTCACCCTCACCCTCTCATTCTCTCACCCTCTCACTTCCGGGTATTCACCGGCAGCAGTACAAGTACACACTGGGCGAGTCCACTTGTATAAAAAGGGTGGACACCTTAACAGAAGACATAGCAGAAATTAGAATGGTTTTTGTTATTACGAAATTGGTACCACCATCGTAGTTTCTTGACCCCGACGGTTGTATCGTAATGCTAGATTCCACAGCTTTCTTATAACTAACTTAACAATGTCTCTGTCTCTTATTTAAAATCAAATATCCGTCTTTTACCGGTAGAAAGATCTTTTTTCCTCAAAGTCTTAAATAGCACAATTTTTATGGTCTGAATTGGCTGTCCATTAAATGACCTTCGGAGGAACTTTTTCACCGTCTTCTTGTCAATTCATTTTCCTAAAGAAAAAAAGTGAATGAGAGATTACTTCTAATGCTTTTTTCTTTTTACAATCTATCACTTTTGAGACCAGTGTCTTCGCTAAGAGGGAAAGATTATGGCTGAGAAAAATTTGAAACTGGAAGAGAATCAACTTTTAATTAAATTAAAAGAAATCTATTCGTTTTCTCAGTAATTACAGAACCGTTAAGTAAAATTTCGTTTTAAAACAAAAAGAAAAGAGTTCTGAACTATTACGTAATATCAACTTTCTTGTATGGCAGTACATACTAGATAATCTCCTTACATATAAAGAAGAAACTTGAAGCTACATTAAAAATATGAAATTTTTGTTTACATTTAATTATCGTTCAGTTTTTTATCCTTTCCTCAGTCTAGGGGATATCTTTTCTCTCACCTTCATTCTCTGGGCATAACCCCCTGCGTGCTAAGTGGCATTCCCGACTTGTTTTCGGTTGAAATTAATAAAATCTACAGATTCCTTTGATTCATCTTCGATAGATAAGAATAACATAGATAGATAGATAGATAAAATGATAGATAGATTAGATAGATGGTGGGAGTATGCAAATGTTTTTTGTTTGTATTTGTATGTATGTGAATATCTTTTTTCAATTAAATGATATTTGAACCAAGATGTTTTCCACTTTCTCAAACTTTATTTTCACGTTTCCCTGTAAAAAAAAATATTACTTCATTATTGATACATTGTTTCTTTTCTCTCTGATAGCGTCCGATGCTTGTTTTCAGACTTTCTCATAAAGAAGGATTAAGAAATGTTGAAACTGTAGGAGAAAAATGTTTTTCAAACTGAATTATATATTAAACAAACTAGAACATTATAATTAAATTAATTAATTAAATCGTAATTGCGTGTATTTAAAGAATAAATGATATAATAATGTTTAGAAAAATATAGATATCTGTGTTTAAATACATTAAGTGTTAATTTTCCCCAAAATAGATTATCATTAAGCCTACAAAATTTTTCTATAGATGTTTTCTTTTATTTTTATATTTTTTTTGGCAAACATATGTATTACTTTCATTAGTAGACTATGTTATAAAACATCTGATATGCAAAAATTAAAAAAAATATTAAATTAATTTTTGTTTTATATTTAATGAATATATTTAACTAATTTTTTATTAGTTTTATAAGTTCTGCAAGATTTATTCTCCTTTAGTATAAGGTCACTATAAAGGGGAATAACTTTAATAAAATTCATGAGAGTTACTTCCCTTAGAACAGAAAAGTTTTTTAAATATATTTAGCAAATTGAAAATAGAAATATGCTCTAATTTGAAGTTCGCAAGGTTTTTTTTACTGTCAGAAATTCCGATTATTTTTTAACTCAATGGTCATAAAATGTTAAAATGTTTTAGTATATGGGATTTAAAATTGTACACAACAAAACACCTTAAATTTGCAACTTTTCGTTGCATATTCTGAATAACCCTGACGACATTTTTTAATAAAGATATTGATTTTATTGACTTAATATTTGTTTCAATAATAATGCAAAATTAACGTTTTCCTTTCAAAATCGCAATGAACAGTAAAGAGTTTTATTCGGATAATAATTAATCATTTTTCCGCATTTTAGTTTCTTTAAATGTTTAAATTTTCCTTCATTTAATCATTACTTTCAAAGATATGTTAATTTTTATATAATTTAATAACCCTAGCGCTTGAATTGATTCCTTCCTCTAACAATCAATTTTAAAGTGATTTTTCATTTATGTAAACAAAGGGTTAAGTGGCATAAATTTAAGGTTTAAAATGGTATAATTCACTGTTTTACTTATCAATATTTTCTTCCCGAGACAGAAATACTTAATT